TACATCGTTGAGAGCTACGCTACGCGATGTATTATTGTCCTTTATTAAACACTGTATTTACCTTTATTTGATGATTTATTATATATAATTTAACAGCGTTAACGGCTATCTTGATTTATATATATATATATATATATGTATATACTGTATATGTGTATGTGTGTGTATTAAATGAACAAATGAACGAACTACTTTTTTATCTATCTGCTGTTTGGACGTGTGTTTGTGTGCTTACGAGATTTGCCAAAAAAGTGTAGGAAAACAAAATGGCATTAATTTTGGTGAAAACAGTTTGGGCGAGTGGTTAGGAGAGTGTTTTCCACACTATTGATCCCAGGTTCGAATCCCATAATGTCTTTGTTTTTCATTATCTTTTATATAATTTGTCAGTTCTAAACTTTAGGCATCAGCACCAGGGGACAATATGCGTGAGAAATTTATACAGAAGGAATGTTATGATGTGGGCGGAGGTCTGCACTTTGAGAATGCACTCTAGTTATTATAATAAAATGGGAATATTTTAGATTTAATTTTAATCTTTATTAGTCCTACATGAATTACTAAGTTTCATATTTAGTAAATTATCGATCGTCCAGAAATAAGGACCTTTTCCTCTCCTTATCATCCCCCTCCCCATTTATCATCCACCCCTTCCTCACCCCATCTCCCTATTACAGGCCTTCAGCTGAAGCCTAAACATTTTTCCCAAATACGCCCAACTATGAGCTCGTGGCTATATCTATAAATCATGCTGTTCAGTTTTTTAATAATGAAAAATATAACATTAGTTTATCATACTCACAGGTGATCCACAAAGTGTGTATAAGTACATGCACGGACAATATTTTGCATATGGCTAGCATGGTAACCGGTGGAAATTAAAATGATTTCGTATCGGCCTAGAGTGTTACATATTTGGTGGTTCGGTTTTCTCAATCTGACGTCAGGTCCTACAATTAACTGTATACACTTCCATTAAGAATATTTATTTTGTGATGTTATCTCTTGATATGCACAGTCCAAAAGTATAACATGATAGGGCATTGTTGTGGTTTTGGCATAATATCCATATTATGACGTACGTTGTCATAAAAATGCAAAAAATAATTTTTGCTGTTAACTAAAAGTTTTTAACATCAGATTTTTATCTCCTAAACTCACCTACCGATAGTTGGCATGAAGTACAGTGATTTTCGTGGTTCCATGCTCCAAGATTGACTAAAAAAACAGCTTTTCTAGTTTACCTTTGTGAATTTGGAGGTATTTGAGTTAATCTACCTGACTATTATATTATCTTTTCTAACTAAACATTCATTACAATCTTAAATTTCACCATGAAACAAGCACCACAAAAACAATTATTAAATTATTATCATTATTATTATCATTTTTTATTATTGTTATTATCATTATCATTAATATTATTATTATTATTATTATTATTATTATTATTATTATTATTATTATTATTATTTATTATTACATTAGTACATGCAGTCAGTGGTGCTAGGCGTCGGCCTAGAGTAAACAGTGACTCAGATGAATTGGGTCAACTACTTATCTGCCCAGGCAACCCAAACAACAGATGCGGTAAACAAATACAATCTGAAATAGACGCATGTATTGCCTGTGATGAGTCCGATCAATGGTTCGATCATGGCAACAGCTGTGTGACTTTTAAAATTCTTATCAGAAGACGGATTGTTTGTAGCATAATTATGCTTTTTGGCATAATTTAAATCTCTGTAGCCTTTGTAGCATTAATGCTACGCATAAATTCATGAAAAAGTAGCATAATTTAGAATTGATGTAAATTTCGTAATTTTTTTGATAAATAAATTCAAAAAAGTCTGAGAGTGCCATTTCCGAGTATCTAGTGGTGCCTATTATTTAAATTTTCTTACCTCACCTAAAACGGCCATTACGTAACGGGGTATGGCAGAGAATGAGTTAAATCCATTTTTAACCAATTACGCTATTCTGAACGTCATAAGTACTGCATATCCGACTGCCGTGTATCTAATTACCATAATGTTGGTTAAATCCAAGGCAGCCGTGCATATATCTACTATTTGACGCGTAGCACTGTAGCATAATTTTACTCCCAGTCAATTAAATGACATACTGTAATTTCATTTGTCACAATGGCAACACTGCGGATCACCGCCTTTCATACGCATTCAATGTCGAGGCGAGGCTGGTTCGTTACAAAAGATTTTGACATTTACAAAGATCTTCAAGAACGTTCTGGGTCCTTAGAAAAGAAAATCAACATCGTTGAGTCGATGGTTGATCATTTACAAACAGTAGGCCTAACAGATACACGCAAAATCCAAAGAGTTTGCAGATACTGTTGATGCCCAACTGAAGGAGTTCAGACAAGACATGGAAGAGCGTGATCACCGCAGACATAATATTATTCAAGGTCTTCACAAATCTTTTTTTTTCCACAGATAACATATACAATATAAGGAGAAGTCTATAATACGATCATGTGCTGGGGCAGAGCACAGATCTTTAAGCTAATAGCCCCCCTTAACAAAAGAAAAAAAACAAAAAAATAAAATAAACACATGAGATACCTTAGAATAAAATAAAATAATTAAAAAAATATTTATAAAATAAAAAAATTAAAAATAAAATTAAAAAAATATATTAAAAAAATAATAATAATAATAAAAATAATAATAATAATAATAGTTGAATAATCTACAAATGTCAGCGATACAGAACTTGTTAAACAGTTAGCAGTGGCTTCAGGTTTGGGTGACATTGAGGTCAAGGCACCAATAAGGCTTATAATAATCCACCTCCAAATAATCCTCGGCCCAGATTACTTAAGACAGTATTGGCAGATCTCAACACTAAACATCAAATTCTGTGCCAAGCAGCACGCAACTCTCTTGCACGATCAAATTGTTTCCCAAACATAACTCTATAATCATATAGGACAAAAAAAATGAACGTACTGAAAGAGTTTATAAGCTTCAAAATCTGGAAATTAGGAATCAGAAGTGGATCATCATTCCGCAGAGGACGTTTGGCCATGATAACTAATCAACGCCCAACAATTGGGACCACAACCCCGTCTACTTCCACCACCCCAGAGAGAATAAACAAAATAAAATGCCTCGACACCAATATAGATGGAATAACAAACAATAACTTTTTATTTCAATTTCCAGGACTCGACAGGGTTTATGCATGTGTGATTAAAGCTGTGCATCATTAGCTACACCTAGTTTCTACATTTTCAAAATATCTTTGTCCACTGGTGACATTCCCCTACCATGGAAAGAAGCAACTGTAATACCAATGCATAAAAGTGGCTCAAGAACTGATCCAGCAAATTACCGACACATTTCCCTCTTTTGTGGTCTGCAAACTACTCGAGAAAATTATCCGCAATGAAATTGTAAAGTACATTGGCGGACCTGAGGGGGTCCTGACCACCCCCCCCCCACCCCCACAAGTGAGCTGAAATTGTTTTTGTTACAATAGGAAAATTAGAAGTCGGAAAAGCTCATTTCCCGCCATCTAGGAATCAAGATATTCCCGGGGGAGGACTCTGACCCACTTTCTTTTTGTGGTTCATCGATTCATGGAATCGTTTTCAGGAGGGGGGACCTTAAATTTTGAAGAACTTAAAAAAGTCACTAAAAGACACCTCAGAAGTAGAGGAAGCTCATTTCCAGCCATCTAGGAATCAACTTTTTTCCGCGGGAGAACCCAAACCCCCATTCTCTTGGAGTACATCGATTCATGGAAAAAAGAATACGTGTGCAACTATTTAATTTTGTTAGGTATATACACACATAATAGACATATTTACTGTAAGAATGAAAAAAGTTTACCTGTTGACCGTTTTCAAGAGGGGGAAACCTTGAATTTTGAAGAAATTAAAAGTCATTAAAAGACACCTCATAAGTCGGGAAAGCTCATTTCCCGCCATCTAGGTGTAGTGCATGATCTTGTGGCATAGTTTACATTAAGTGTTGTCACGTGAAGTAGATAAGCAAACAGACCTCATGTTGGGGTAACTAGTCCAACTCAGAAAAGCGCTTTACTTTTGCATCTAGGTAGAAGCAACGGCGGCGGAATCAGGGGGAGGGGGCAGGGGGCCATTTCCCCCCACTTTTTCTACTGGGTGGCCCCATTATTATTATAATTATTATTATTAGGCCTATTATTATTATTATTTGGTGCTTACACCTCGTTTATTTGCGCATTATCAATTGACTTATTATTATTATTATTATTATTATAAAATATAGATTTTTTTTTTCATTTTCTAACGAACGTTACAAGTTCCCTTTATGAGTTGAGCAACCAAATGTTGATTGACGTCTGTATACTTGCGTCTGTAAAGTTTCCTTGAAATCCACCCTCGAGCATGAAGAAAATATCGCCTGCATTCGTTAGTTCTGTATTTAGGCATATGGGGGTGGGGGAGGTGACACTCTTAATGGAGCGACCTTCTAGTTCTCTTTATGCTAACCACGAAGATTTATAGGCTATGTCAAGTGTTATATTGAGCAGTGTCAGATTCAATGGGGAACCCAGTCAGCACGAGACCCCATCCTCCTATTATTTTTATTTTTTCAGAATTTAAAAAAAAATTGAGAAAACAGACAAAATTGTATTCAATTTTTAATCCGAGAGTGCCATTTCCGGCCATCTAGATGGGCCATAACCATAATGTCTTCTTACCTCAGGCCCAACAGTTGTGGGGCTGAGGCGAGGGTGGACATTCTACTTGTGCAAGACCCTCCCTGGAACCCCTCTATTTCGACTTCCTGGATCCGCTACAGAGTATCCGGGCTACAGAAGGGTAATTTTTATCCATCGGGGGGAAAAGTGAAGTTTTCGTCGGGGAACCCATCAAGGATAACCCTCATGATAAATAATCCATTGAGGTCGTGGAAGCAATCTCGACTTCGACTTTGTTAGGAATTCTGTCTGTCTCTTATACACATCTACTGTGGCGCGTTCAAGGGGGGGGGGGAGGCTAACTTTTTTAATTTTTTTTTTTTTTATGGAGGAAAAATTATATTCAAATTTTAAGTCTGAGAGTGTAAATTCCGGCCATCTAGTGGTGCCATAATCACAAATTTTCTTGCCCCAACCATAGTGGGACTGAGGTGGTATAGATTCTCCATCTGCTGAAGTACCCAGTGGCGGACTCAAGGGGACCCAGCAGGCCCGCCCCTAACCCCTAAATTGTTCAATAAAAAATAGAGATATAAACCATGGTGGGGCTGAGGTAGTATAGATCTTCTATCTGTGAAAGTACCCTCCCTGGGCCCTTCTATTTCGAATTCCTGGATCGGCCACAAATATAAAATCATATTAAAGTAGCTTGATGCCTATAACATAACTTCGCTCGCATGTTGGACCTTATGAAATGCCCCCTCCCCCTACTTTCAAAAACGTTCCGCCGCCGTTGGGGAGAAGGCCACTCAAATCGATTTTTGAAACATTTACACCGGAGCAGAAAGGAGGGGATGAAGACTACGATGTACTTCTAGAATCTTTTTGATGAATATTTTAAGGAACGGAAGAATGTGCCATTAGCTAGACAACGGTTTATTGAAGAAAACAATTTTTTTGGAGGGGAATGTGCACCCACTACTGTAGCTATGCCACTGATAACGTGCCTTGCCCAAGGACACAAGCGACTTGCACAACAGAGTTTCGAACCACTGACTTCAAGGTTGGGAGTCCAAAGCACAACCGATGCCACACGCTTCTACAGATTGGAGAGAGCTGAATTTTAGTCCAAGATGTTAGTTGGGCTGAATTGTCTGGTGGGACGAGTTGTTGGAGCCGAGCCCCCCAAATCCTCCCTTGCCGTATCTATATATAATCATGGAGGAATTAGTTTAGACTAATTCCTCTATGTTATAATTATGCTTTATTTCAAACCCTACAATCATAGTAGAGCGGCTAAGGTTGAATTTCAGGTAGAATCGTGCACTTCTGGAAGAAAGCATGAAACTTCCCACAGTAATACTATGACACCTAAAGATCATTAAAAAAATAGACCCCAAAAAATAACGCCTCATAATGGCCACCATCTTGAAATCCAATATGGCCGCCAAAATATTGGATTTTAGCCAATATATTCATATCTACAGCATATGTCATTGCCAAATGAAGATCATTACCCATCTTTTCAATATCAGGGAGTATCATGCCATCATCAGAACTTATGTCAGATGGCGCCGCCATATTGGATTTCAAGATGGCCGCCAAATTAATGATATTTTTGTCAATATTCTTATCTACAGTACATAGCACTGTTAATCAAAGACCGTTGCCCATGTTTTCGATATCAGGGACTACCATATGCAGCCATCAGAAATTATGTCAGAAGACCACCATATTAAATTTTAAAATGGCCGCCATCTTGAAATTTAATATGGCCGCCAAAATAATTAATTTTAGCCTATGTATTCATATTTGCAGCACATATCACTCCAACTGAAGATCATTACCCATGTTTTCAATATCAGGGAGTGTCAAGTAATCATCAGAAATTATGTCAGATGGCTCGCCATATTGGATTTCAAGATGGCCGCCAAATTATTGCTATTTTTGTCAATATCTTATCTACAGCACCTAGCACTGTCAATAAAAGACCGTTACCCATGTTTTCGATATCAAGGACTATCATGCAACCATCAGAAATTATGTCAGAATGCCACCAATTGAATTTCAAGATTGCTGCCATACTAGATTTCAAGATGGCCGCCAAATTAATTATTGATGATGTTGTAAACTCGTCATATCTACAACACCTAGCACAGTCAAAGATCTCTACTCGTGTTTTCGATATCCGGGAGTATCATGCAATATTCTTTAATATAAGTCAGTCGTATGAGAGAAGTACCTGGGAGTGAGATATGCCCCTTTATCGTATAGGTCTCTGTGGTGTACTGATATGACCTACTGATACGACACCGAGATAGTAAGTGGCTACACGTTAGAGAAACTTTTTCATACAACTGAAAAAGGAACTTCATTGGTATCCATCTTGAAATCCAATATGGCGGCCTTCCAACATAATTTCCTGATGATTGCATGATACTCTCTGATATTAAAAACATGGTTAAAGGTGTGATTGACTGTGTTACGTTACTGTAGATATGAAGATAAAAATAACAATATTTTGGCAGGCATCTTAAAATCAGATATGGCGGCCATCTGACATAATTTCTGATGATTGCATAATACACCCTGATATTGAAAACATAGGTAAAGATCTTTGAATGACAGTGCTAGGTGCTGTAGATATGAAGATTATTGATTAAAAAAAACAATATTTTGGCGGCCATATTGAATTTCAAGATGGCCGCCACTAAGCGGCTTATTTTTTGGGGTCTATTTTTTTTAATGATCCTTAGGTGTCATAGTATCACTGTGGGAAGTTTCATGCTTTCTTCCAAAAGTGCACGATTTTTCTCCTTAGCCGCTACTATCACAGTGATGTAAAAACACAGTACGTCAGATAACGTCGAAAATTCGAAACGTACCAGTCTGAAAAACAATTATCACCGAAGTCTTCGTCTCACGAAGTAAATACAATTCCATATTTCAACTTAATTGAGGGGAAAATAATGTCTTTACAACAACTACTACTTATTGAGACTGTAAACAACCTGAGATTTCCTTTGTTCTTCCATCCCGGAGATTCGTTGTGTGTTGCATGCTTTTGATATGCAAATCCAGTCAACCAAACACCGTTCCGTTGCAGCCAAGCGAATGCTTACTGCGCATGCTCAGTTCATAATCACTGATCCATGTAAATGAAAACAACTACCGAATAGGCTTGCCTGACATCGTAGCTGAACTTGTTCGCGGTCGAAACGGCCCTACGCACCTAGGCCTATAATGGCTAGGCCACACTTTAGGCCTAAACTAGGGCATAATTTAAAGCAGTATTTCATATTTATAATCATGTAATCCATAAAGATGTTTAATATATTGTAGGTACAAATAGGTTTAGCTAATCTTTCAGTATATTACCTGTCAATGACTTATGGTTCATGAATATAGAAAAGTGTATTTTAATAGCTGATGTTTCCAACATTCAATTGCTCAAAAAGCAGTAATAATACTAATATATGTCAATTGGACTGTATGTACTTATTCTCTAATTCTGAACATGACTTACTGTACTAGGTGCACAAAAAATACATTTTCTGTTGTGGTAAATTATTTCAAAACATGTATGTGCTTATAGTATGAACTGTACTATGGATTTAGTGTGTTTCTTCAATTCAGGCATTTTACTGAGTGTCCGTTAGGCCTAGCCCTGGACGGCTGAGAGGGTAGGGATTGCCGAATTAAGCCTATTGTAGTCCTTATGTACGCATACAATAAATTTAAATTGCAATATATGCGTTTGTCTTACCTTTCAAAGAAATTGCCAAAGTAAAAGTTTCAATTTTTTTTTTTTAATATTATAGTCCAATACCGCCAAGAAAATATCCGCTTGTCTTGTGTGTAGAAGTTGCACACTTGCGGTTCGAACAACCATATTTGCATATCAATAAAGCACAAGACATCACAAGAGAGAACAATACAATCCAGTCGCGTTTCCATCTCCTTGTATTAGTTGTCTCAGGTTGTTATAGACTGGATCGTTAGCTGTTTTGACCACGTTGCATTGTTTACGCAATCACTCATTTAGATTTCTGTGGTTTCCCTCAGGGGCGGATCCAGAGATGTCCAAAAGGAAGATCCGTTGAAGTTTAAATGAGGTTTTGCCTTCCATAGAGGATTTGAAGACTTGGCATGTATCAAAAGGTGATTAAAAAAAAAAAAAAAAAAACTCCCTACCTACTATCAACAATTTTTTTTTTACATGGCCTAATTGAATCAGAATATGAGTATGGTGACTCCGAAAAGTACTGACAAGTCCAAAAATACTGACAAACATACCAAAAATCAATACAAGATAAATTTTGACCAATTAGAAAGAGGTAGGATATTCTGATAAATAAATTGATAAACAAAATAAGATTGTGATAAACAAATGATTATTTTAGAACAAAAGCAAGTTAGCACTTATGCTATGTGAATATTGCAAGCTCTTTAGAGGCTCTGAGACCATAGTTTAGACTAGGCTTGTATCTTCTTATTGCTAAGGCTTCAGCAAATAAAATTTCAGACCAATGTAGAGAACCATGAATAATATTAATATTTTCAAATAATAAGGACTCAATAAGAGATTGTTTGGATGTATTGTCAGCCGTCATATGATGTAGACCAATTATATGGTTAAAACCTTCACAACTCTCAATGTGTTCATGTACACTACTGTTTACATTACGAGAATGTTCAACAACTCGAACTTTTAAGCATCTATCTGTTTTGCCTATATAACTGTCGAGGCATCCAGGACATTTGAATTTATATATTAAAGAGCTACAATACTCTTTTGGCGTCCGATCCTTATTAGAAGTAAAATATGAAATTTGTTTGGTTTGCCAGAGCGTAACAAATTTAACATCCTTAGTCGGGTGTCTACTTATCTTTTTAATACATTTATGGATAATATAGCTACCGTGCTTACCAATGAAAGGTCAGCGTATCCAAATTTTCGGCCTATTATCAACATTAATATTATCAGTTACATTATTCTGGATATTTAGATTACAAAGAATACGATGGAAAATATACTTAGGGAAACCATTCCATGACACCAGTTTCTTAATCATGTCAACCTCTTTATCCAATGATAACCAGGGGAACATATTCTATGTGCCCTGTACAAAAGGCTACATATCCAAACACCTTATGCGCCCATGGAACAATACTCTCAAAGTGAGCATATTGCCCTCTATGGGTATCCTTCCGATAAATAACCATAGTACCTTGCATATCAAAAGAAATTTCAAGAAAATGAATATTAGCAGAATTCTCAAAAGACTCAAATGTGAACTTAATATTACGATGAAAAGAATTAAATAAATCAAGTATATAATTAAAATCAGAAGGCTTAGCAAGCAACAGAGTATCGTCTACAAAACGCGTGTAGAATTGAACAATGCCGTCATTAACCAAACCAGGAATTAACGATTGCTCAAGCTCAGTCATGATAATGTTGGCCAAAACCGGGCCTAACGGAGAACCCATTGATACACCGTCAGTTTGCTTATAAAGCTGATTATTATAGTAGAGCGGCTAAGGTTGAAGTTCAGGTAGAATCGTGCACTTCTGGAAGAAAGCATGAAACTTCCCATAGTGATTCTAATGACACCGAAAGATCATTAAAAAAATAGACCCCAAAAAATAACGCCTCCTAATGGCCGCCATCTTGAAATCCAATATGGCCGCCAAAATAATTGATTTTTAAGCCAATATATTCATATCTACAGCAAATGTCATTGCCAATTGAAGATCATTACCCATGTTTTCAATATCAATGAGTGTAATGCAATCATCAGAAATTATGTCAGATGGCGCCGCTCTATTGGATTTCAAGATTGCCGCCAAATAAATGATATTTTTGTCAATATTCATATCTACATGTGTACCTACCACTGTCAATCAAAGACTGTTGCCCATGTTTTCGATATCAGGGACTACTATAATAATAATAATAATAATAATAATAATAATAATAATAATAATAATAATAATAATAATAATAATAATAATAAGAATAATAATAATAATAATAATAATAATAATAATAATAATAATAATAATAATAAT